CATCACATAGCTATATCCACGACCTCATCCGTCCTCAAATTTGCAGCATTGAATTGTTAGCAGGTATCTGTAAGTAATTGGTGAGAGCACACTGATGTGTGAAAACAGCATTATTAAAAACACTGCACAGTCAGACAGTTTTTTATTTACTGTATAACTTTAAAATGAGGAGGAACCCCATTAAATGATGCACAGGTCCTATCTGTTCTGAACAACTTGTTTATTCTTTATCTTCAGCTGCTGACAGATACGCTTCTCTCCTTTGAGATTTCACCTAAATATAATTTATGGCTACAATACTATTCAACCAGAGAAGTATTTTTCCCTCCGTAATGTTTTTGTAATTAGAACAGGCTATGGCATGCTGCTTTGATATTTATTAGTTAGTCTAAATAGGCATTTTTGATATTTATTTGATATTAAACAAAATTACATCCCTTATAGCTAAAACAAACATTCTGGACGTCTAAAAATGAATTTAAGATCTCCACATTCCTATTGTTACTGGTCATAATTTGTAGTATCCATCCATCCATTTTCCGTCATGCTTTATGCCAGCTGGGGTCATGAGGTGTGCTGGTCCTTATCTCTAGCTGATTAATGTCAAAATGTCCTCTTAAAATGTGTAAATATTTCTAGGTATATAAAGTTTGATTTCTACCAGTAAAATTTAGTTTTTGCTTTTTTACTTTCTCAAATTATCCAAGACGGTGGCACCTTTAAGGCAGGAATGCTGCAGCTCTTCGACAATCTGCAAGCATTTCTTCCAAATATGCCGCCTAGCACGCTACAAACTATGCATCAATCCAGTGTGATGACCGCCAATGCCTGCTGGAGCTACGGTCATCCAGTGTTTTGTCTGGAGTATTTTTTCTGTAAATAAAACTATTCTTGACCATTTAAGCAACACTCTAGACCTGGTTTACTCTAACATAAAAGATGCATTCAGAGCAGGCCCCGCCCCCACTACGGTTCTTATGACCACCTAGCTGTTATGCTAATTCCCGCATACAGGCCGTTGCTTATTAGAGCAAAACTTAGAGTGAAGCAGATGAGGGTGTGAACTCAGAGGGCGATGGAGGCACTTTAGGACTGTTTTGAATGCTCTGACTGAAACATGTTCAAAGCTGCAGCAACATATGACAAGAACAATATTGATGAGTATGCCATGACAGGGTCAGCCTACATCAACAAATGCATTGAGGACATCAGCATCACAAAGAACATCCTCTCCCGGACCAATAAATGACTCTGGATGACTGGACGAGTTCTGTTTTGTTTCCATGTTTCTAGTTGTTTCTTATTTAATTACTTAAATTATTCAAAAGAAAATCAAAATAATGTCATGATTTTAAATAACCAGCCAGCAAAAGTTGATATTTACTTTAATTAATCAAGGAAAAGAGGAATCCAACAAAATGATCGAATTTAGAGCAGGCAGCTGCTCTGTGTGGATCTGACAGATGAAGCCTGACGTGATTCGTGGTCCACAGACGCTTCAGAGGTTCCTGGAACAAACGAAAGGCATCCTTGTGCTGCATGGCATGTCATTCCAGTGTTGTCCTGTTGGGAACAAAACAATATAAAAAATATTAAGTTTGTATTTTATTTCTGTTTCTCACTAGTTTTATTTAAAGGAAAATTCCGGTTTTTAACACTTTTAGCCCATTTTCTGTAGTGTCCAGGATGAAATCGAATGATCGACACCAAAATTTTGACAATTG